AGAAGCAGTCAGAAGGTCATTATTAACTTTAACCAGAGCTGTCTCTGTGCTATGATGAACTCTAAATCCTGACTGAAAATCCTCAAATAAACTATTGTTATGTAGAAAGTCACACAACTCTTTGGCGACTACTTTCTCCAGAATCTTAGAGAGGAACGGGAGGTTAGAAATCGGTCTATAGTTGGCTAAAACCCCTGGGTCAAGAGTAGACTTTTTAAGAAGGGGTTTAATTACAGCTACTTTAAAGGACTGTGGTACATATCCTGATAATAAAGAAAGATTAATCATATCCAGTAAAGAAGTGCCAATTAAGGGAACAACTTCTTTAAGCAGCCTAGTTGGGATCGGGTCTAACAGACAGGTTGATGGCTTCGATGAAGAAATGATTGAAGTTAACTGATGAAGATCGATAGCAGAAAAACAGTCTAAATATACATCTAAGTTTACATTGACAGAAGTCCCTGAACTTGGAGAGCCACTGATAACCGTTGATGGCAGTTGGTGATTAATTTTTTCTCTAATAGTAATAATTTTATTATAGAAGAAGCTCATGAAGTCATTGCTACTTAAGTTTATGGGGATATGTGGCTCGATAGAGCTGTGACTCTCTGTCAGCCTGGCTACAGTGCTGAAGAGGAACCTAGGGTTGTTCTTATTTTCTTCTATTAGTGCTGAGTAATAGGCTCCTCTGGCATTATGGAGGGCCTTTCTATAAATCTTAAGATCATCTTGCCAATTTGAGCGATATTCTGATAATTTGGAAGAGCGCCATTTCCTTTCAGATTTCCTAGCTATTTGCTTTAACTGGCGGGTTTGGTGGTTATACCAAGGTGCTAGTCTCCTATGTTTTAATAATTTCCTTTTTATAGGAGCGATAGAGTCTAATGTTGATCGTAGTGAGCCTGTAGCACTATCGACAAGATTATCAATTTCAGAGGGACTAAAGTTGTTATAGGACTCTGTTAAATTCAGACATGGCATTGAATTAAACACTGAAGGAATCTCCTCCTTAAATTTAGCTACAGCACTGTCAGATAGACATCTGCTGTAGGAAGTTTTGCCTAATGGCTTATAATCTAATAGTATGAATTCAAAAGTTATTAAATAATGGTCAGATAGGAAAGGATTATGTGGGAAGACTATTAAATGTTCAATATCAATGCCATATGATAAAACAAGGTCAAGAGTGTGATTAAAACAATGAGTTGGTTTATTTACACTCTGACAGAAGCCAATTGAGTCTATTAATGATATAAATGCATTACTAAGGCTGTCATTGTCAACATCCACATGAATATTAAAATCACCTACAATAATTACTTTATCTGATTTAAGGACTAAGCTTGATAGAAACTCTGAAAATTCAGATATAAAATCAGAGTACGGTCCAGGAGCACGGTACACTATAACAAATAGAACTGGCTGCAGTGTTTTCCAGTTTGGGTGAGAAAGACTAAGAACAAGGCTTTCAAATGAATTATAATTTAGTTTAGGTTTAGGGTCCATTAAAACGCTCGAATCATATATGGCTGCTACTCCACCTCCTCGGCCTGTGCCTCGAGGAATGTGAGTATTAATATGACTGGGGGGTGGATTCATTTAGGCTAACATACTCCTCGTGGGACAACCAGGTCTCAGTAAGACAAAGTAAATCAATATCATAATCTGATATTAATTCGTTCACTAAAACAGCTTTAGAGGACAGAGACCTGATATTTAACAGCCCACATTTCATTCTCTTATTTTGTGCTACTGAGGAGTTGGTTTTAATTTTTATTAGATTTTTATGTTGAACTCGTCTTGTTTTTATTTCTTTAAATAGTTTAGGTGGTCGGGGGACAGACACAGTCTCTATGGGGTTTTGGGTGGGTGACTGTTCTAAAGAAAGAGCAGAGAAGTGTGTAAGACAGCAGCTCTGCTTCCTGGTCCCAACTCTGGACTGTCAGGTTTTAGAAATAAACTTCGCCATATTTCTAGATAAGAGAGCCGCTCCATCCAAAGTGGGATGGATGCCGTCTCTCCTAATCAGACCAGGTTTCCCCCAAAAAGGCTTCCAGTTATCAATGAAGCCCACATCGTTTGCTGGACACCACCTCGACAGCCAGCGGTGGAATGACGACATGCGGCTATACATGTGATCACTGGTCACATTGGGCAGGGGTCCAGAGAAAACTACGGAGTCCGACATTGTTTTAGCATAATTACACACCGACTCCACATTAATCTTAGTGACCTCCGATTGGCGTAAACGGGTGTCATTACCGTTGACTTGTATAACAATCTTACTATATTTACGATTATCATTAGCCAGCAGTTTTAAATATGATTCAATGTCGCCCGCTCTGGCCCCAGGGATACATTTAACTATGGCCGCTGGCTTCGCTAACTTCCCGTTTCTGACTATGGAGCTGCCAATAACCAGAGTTGGTTCCTCAGCGGGTGTGTCGCTGAGTGGGGAAAATGTATTAGAAACATGAATGGGTTGGTGGTGAACTGTGGGCTTCGGCGTTTTAGTCTTCCTTCGCTCAGTCACCCAGCCTCCCTGTCTTCCCGGCTGCTCGGGAACTACCGGGGGATCTACAGATCTAACAGAAGCTACCTTCGGTCGGACCGCACCGGCTACCGGGGGCTGGCTAACTATAGTGGCTAAAGATATCTCCGTGGTGCGGTACCGTTCCTCTAACTCACTAAGCCTCGCCTCCAGCGCAGTAAATAAACTACATTTAATACAGGTACCATTATCATTAAAGGAGGCAGAGGAATAACTGAACATCTGACACACTGAGCAGGACAGAGGAGAGGGAGAGGGAGGAGCCATAGCTAACTGCTAATGCTAATGAAACTAGAGTGTATGAAAAACTTTGAAAGTAGTGAAAAGTCCCTAAAAGAGGGAGAAACTCCGAGTGCTTAAGTAGAACTAGTCTACGTTTAAATGTTAAGCGGGTAAATAACCGCTGTAACGAGTAAAACAAATTTATATTTAGCGTTCACTGACAGAGCTACAGCACCAAACAGTGTACACAGAGCAGGAAGTGAACCGGAAATGAGTCAGTACGCTTACCGTAGCACGTTTCATGCAACTAACTCCTTTTTTAACGGCAAAGTCAGTTAAAATCCCACACACACACGTATATACACACTTTAATTCGGCCTCAACCTCAGCACATACACGAGTAGAGGGAAATCAAACCCACCCGCTCCTTCATACTCTTTGTCTCTCACCAACATGTGTTTCCCTTTAGTTTAGTTCCTTTATGTTAGATTGTACATTGTGTGTTTTCTCTGTTTTAGTTACTAATTATTTCTTTAATAAATGGTTGTGTTTATACATGCTGGGTGATATCAGCCTCTTCTATGCAGAATTCCACATCCTTCAGCTTGCTTGCTTTTAATGGTGATTAAAGTTATTTATTTAATTACTAATTAATTTCTAAATTGATAGTTTAGTGTAATTTGTAAGATGATCAATCAATTACTGGCTATCGTTTCCCTTATTTAAGGGTGGTGCTCAGAGGATCTTTTATATTAAAGTCATTTGCAATTATGTTTTGTTAATTAATAAACTAATAAATGAATTGATTGCACCAGTATCGTTTGGTGCATCTTGGTGCACAACAAATGGTACTGCTGTGATTTATCATAGCACCTACATGACTCCAAACCCGGCAGTAAACCCACCTCAGTACCTTATTCCCTGTGTGGTAGAGTCAGCTAATAGGACCACTACAGCTGCTTGACATTCACACACGTAAATACTGTGGTACTATTTAGTGAAATACAGAATTATCAGGTCTCTGGTTGAGTTGCTGTGTTGAATGCTGTTTAAGATGGCTGCCCCCAGTGTTTACTGACACATGTTGAATCATTTCTTACTGACACGGAGCAGAGCCACACTGGATTTTATTTAGACTGATTAATTACATAACTGATTGCTGCTTAAGAAAAGCTTTGTGAGGTTAAACTGATGTTGCCTTCAGGGACCCCAGGTGTCTTTAGGGCGAGTTGCCACACCACCCTTCAGGACAACCTGGAGCTTCACAGAGAACAGATGAATTTTTGTTGATGAACTCCATCAGACTGGGAACTTTAATCTGTCACCCATAATCCTCTCTGCTCACACAGACACAAGGTCAGGCCTTCATTTACTCTATCGCCATGGCAACGGCAGCTCCACTTCTGTTTGTTCTGATGTTAACAACTGACCCAAGACCTGAACTTTCTGCTCAATTTGACCCAATCACATCGTCTGTGTGAGCACTCAGCAGAGGTTGTTTCCATGGCGACAAACTTCAGCTCTAAACTCAGATCAGTTTATGACTCCGGAAAGCCGTAGCAGTTGCTTCAATTAAATTCATTTTTTTTTGTATAATAGAAGTTATCTGAGGACACTTTTCAAATAGAGCAGGTCTAGACCGAACTCCTTATGGCATTATTATTATTATTATTATTATTATTTTAGTTATTTTTTTGGCCTTTTGTTGGCTTTATTGATAGAGACAGCTGTAGATAGACAGGAAAGGTCTAGGTGGGTGGAGAGAGAGGGGATGAAATGCAGCAAAGGGCCGCAGGTCGGACCCGAACCCCGGCCGCTGCAGCAACTCCATACATGGGTCGCCAGCTCTACCGACTGAGCCAACCGGGCGCGTGTTATAGCATTATTTACAGAGACCCAACAGTTCCATGAGCAAGACCTTGGAGACAGTGGCAAGTTGCTGTAGTTGCTTTAATAACTGTTAGTTGCTGTAGTTGCTGTTAGTTGCTTTAATAACTGTTAGTTGCTGTAGTTGCTTTAATAACTGTTAGTTGCTGTAGTTGCTTTAATAACTGTTAGTTGCTTGTTCTGTTAGTTGCTGTAGTTGTTGTTAGTTGCTTTAATAACTGTTAGTTGCTGTAGTTGCTTTAATAACTGTTAGTTACTTGTTCTGTTAGTTGCTTTAATAACTGTTAGTTGCTATAATTGCTGTTAGTTGCTGTAGTAATCGTGTTGCTCTGTGTTGAAGGACAGATCCTCCTCAGCTCGACGCCTTCATCATGGACAAAGCGCTGCTCGACTACGAAGTTTCCATCGACGCCGACTGTAAACTGGCGACTGTTGGGAAACCGTTTGCCATCGAAGGTGAGACAGTGTGCATGCTGTTGTGTTTTTATCTTTGTTAGTTGCTGTAATTGCTGAGGTTGCTGTGAGACAGTGTGCATGCTGTTGTGTTTTTATCTTTGTTAGTTGCTGTAGTTGCTGTGAGACAGTGTGCATGCTGTTGTTTTTATCTTTGTTAGTTGCTGTTAGTTGCTGTAGTTGCTGTCAGACAGTGTGCATGCTGTTGTGTTTTTATCTTTGTTAGTTGCTGTAGTTGCTGTGAGACAGTGTGCATGCTGTTGTGTTTTTATCTTTGTTAGTTGCTGTTAGTTGCTGTAGTTGCTGTCAGACAGTGTGCATGCTGTTGTGTTTTTATCTTTGTTAGTTGCTGTAGTTGCTGTGAGACAGTGTGCATGCTGTTGTGTTTTTATCTTTGTTAGTTGCTGTAGTTGCTGTGAGACAGTGTGCATGCTGTTGTGTTTTTATCTTTGTTAGTTGCTGTAATTGCTGAGGTTGCTGTGAGACAGTGTGCATGCTGTTGTGTTTTTATCTTTGTTAGTTGCTGTAGTTGCTGTGAGACAGTGTGCATGCTGTTGTTTTTATCTTTGTTAGTTGCTGTAGTTGCTGTCAGACAGTGTGCATGCTGTTGTGTTTTTATCTTTGTAAGTTGCTGTAGTTGCTGTGAGACAGTGTGCATGCTGTTGTGTTTTTATCTTGTTAGTTGCTGTAGTTGCTGTGAGACAGTGTGCATTCTGTTGTGTTTTTATCTTTGTAAGTTGCTGTAGTTGCTGTGAGACAGTGTGCATGCTGTGTTTATCTTTGTGATGACACATCTTCAGAAAGTGAGGAAGATCTTGAAGGCCCTTTACTATCTTGTTTGAGGATTCCGGTTGATATTGAGGTTAATGTGTTCACAGACAGAATGTCCTCACAAGCATAGAAACATTAACATGTCTTTGTGTTTCTGGGTTTGTCTTCAGTTCACTTCCTCCGAGTAATTTCTGAAACATGTTTCATAAAGTTTAATCATCTCAACCAATCAGATGAGACGTCTCCCTGCAGACTCTGACTCTGAAGATTCACTGGGAGCTGTTTCCTCCTGTCAGCTTTATTTAAATAGTCTAAAAACACAAATGACAAACCCCCCGAGGGAAGGAAACACTCAGACCCCAGTGATGTTTAATGGACAAATACAATGTGTGAGTTCAGGTTACTGTGCTGTGAATTACAGGCAGAAGATTTCATCAGTTTGTTTAAAATGTTAGAAATTACAAGCAACACTGAAGCAGAGAATTCACATTCGATTAAAATCTGGCTTTTTGTCAAATGTCACACAAAGATTTCTTAAATATGAAATTGAATCTGAATCTGTGAGAAAAACTTTCAGTGACGTGAGTTGTGTGACAACAGCAGTAAAAAATATGAGAAAAACTACGTGGTGAATTCAGCCACATTCAAACCAGTGATGGTGATCACAGAGAATACAGGTTTTACTGCCTCCTTCACTTTTGTGTGTGTCAAAGTCAGAAACAAATGAAGAACACGAGTTGTTACTAAATACAGGTCTTTAAATAAAGTTTTCAGTGTGATTTCTCTGTGCTTTGACCTCCAGCTGATCTCTTAATTTAACAATGATTGAGCTTTTTGTTTAATTAGACCTTCATGTCGTTCTCCCTCCAAAATAATTACTGTTCAAACCTTCACTCCAACTCTTTTCTTTTCTTTAATTAATCTGCTTCATGTGTCATCTCTTGTATTATTATTCTCAGACTCTCTGCTCTCGCTCTTCTTACAAACTTTATTCACGCTGAACTCTTCAGTTTTGTTTTCAGCTGTTTTAGTCCTTAATCAACTTATTGGTGCAATCATGACACAGTTATCGGTTTAGCTGTGATAATGACAGTTTTCTCCTTATAACACACTTATAACTACAGTTTTTTCTTGTTATAACAAAAGATTGCTTTATTGTAAGAAAAGATCAACATATAAAACACAACATTTTGTGGTTGTGATGTAACAACATAAAGTGGCATGTTGTTAGAAGAAAAATTGTTTTAATTTAATTAATTCAATTTTCAATTCAATTCAATTCAATTTTATTTGTATAAAGCCAATTCATAACAAAAGTCATCTCAGGACACTTTTCAAATAGAGCAGGTCTTGACGGAACTCCTTATAACATTATTTACAGAGACCCAACAGTACCACCATGAGCAAGCACTTGGCGACAAGGGCAAGGAAAAACTGCCTGTTAAAAGGCAGAAACCTAGGACAGATCCTTCGGCTCTAGGTGGGTGGTCGTCTGTCTCGACCAGTTGGGGTGAGAGAGAGAGAGAGAAAGAGAGAGAGAGAGAGAGAGACAGACAGACAGAAAGACAGGTGCACAGCAACAACAGTAGCAACAACTACACTAATAGTAGTGACTGATGATGATGAACATGACAACAGCAACGATTGGGGACAATGAACAGTGACAACAGCAACAACAGTAACCGTCGCTATAATAATACTTATAATAATAATAACACTGATATCAGTGATATTGGCAATGGCAGTCAAGCAGGACCATGGCAGGAGGCTCCACCGGGATCCATGAGAACCTGCCAGACGAGAAAGCACAAGAACTCCGGGGAAGAAGTGAAGTTAGTAACATGCATTAATGGGACATGAATGAGTGCATAAAGAGAGAGGAAGGGAGGAGCTCAGTGCACCATGGGAAATCCCCCGATAGTCTAGGCCTATAGCAGCATAACTAAGGGATGGTTCAGGACTCACCTGATCCAGCCCTAACTATAAGCTTTATCAAAGAGGAATGTCTTAAGCCTACTCTTGAATGTGGTGAGGGTGTCTGCCTCCCGAACCACAACTGGTAGCTGGTTCCACAGGAGAGGAGCTTGGTAACTGAAGGCTCTGGCTCCTGTTCTACTTTTAGAGACTATAGGAACCACAAGTAGCCCAGCATTCAGAGAACGTAGTGTTCTAGAGGGGTAATAGGGTACTATGAGCTCTTTAAGATATGAAGGGGCCTGACCATGAAGAGCTTTATAGGTGAGGAGGAGGATTTTAAATTCTATTCTACATTTTACACGGAGCCAATGCAGAGAAGCTAGTACAGGAGAGATGTGATCTCTTTTTCTAGTTCCTGTCAGTACTCGTGCTGCAGCGTTCTGAATTAATTAATTAGTTTGAATGGACTTATTGGGGCAACCTGATAATAAAGAGTTGCAGTAATCCAGCCTTGAAGTAACAAATGCATGGATTAGTTTTTCTGCATCTGTCTGTGATAGGATGTGTCTAATTTTTCTAATATTACCTAAATGAAAGAAGGCGGTCCTAGAGGTCTGCTTTATGTGGGAGTTAAATGACAAATCCTGATCAAAGATAACTCCAAGATTCCTGACAGTGGTGCTAGAGGCCAAGTTAATGCCATCTAGAGTGACTATATCTTTAGACAATGAGTCTCTAAGGTTTTTGGGGCCAAGAACAAGAATTTAGTTTTCTTCTGAGTTTAACATCAGAAAATTGCAGGTCATCCAGGATTTTATGTCCGTAAGACATGTTTGTAATTTAGATAATTGATTAATTTCATTGGGTTTGATTGATAGATATAACTGCGTATCATCTGCATAACAGTGAAAGTTAATGGAGTGATTCCTAATAATGTTGCCTAAAGGGAGCATATATAAAGTAAATAGTATTGGTCCAAGTACAGAACCTTGTGGAACTCCATGACTAACTGTAGTATTTATTGAAGATTCATCGTTAACATGTACAAACTGCGAGCGATCTGATAAATATGACTTAAACCAGCTTAGTGCGGTTCCTTTAATGCCAATTTGATGCTCAAGTCTCTGTAAAAGAATATTATGGTCAATGGTGTCAAATGCAGCACTAAGATCTAATAATACAAGTACAGAGACAAGTCCATTGTCAGAAGCAGTCAGAAGGTCATTATTAACTTTAACCAGAGCTGTCTCTGTGCTATGATGAACTCTAAATCCTGACTGAAAATCCTCAAATAAACTATTGTTATGTAGAAAGTCACACAACTCTTTGGCAACTACTTTCTCCAGAATCTTAGAGAGGAAGGGGAGGTTAGAAATCGGTCTATAGTTGGCTAAAACCCCTGGGTCAAGAGTGGACTTTTTAAGAAGGGGTTTAATTACAGCTACTTTAAAGGACTGTGGTACATATCCTGATAATAAAGAAAGATTAATCATATCCGGTAAAGAAGTGCCAATTAAGGGAACAAGTTCTTTAAGCAGCCTAGTTGGGATCGGGTATAATAGAAAGGTTGATGGCTTCGATAAAGAAATGATTGAAGTTAACTGATGAAGATCGATAGCAGAAAAACAGTCTAAATATATATCTAAGTTTACATTGACAGAAGTCCCTGAACTTGGAGAGCCACTGATAACTGTTGATGGCAGTTGGTGATTAATTTTTTCTCTAATAGTAATAATTTTATTATAGAAGAAGCTCATGAAGTCATTGCTACTTAAGTTTATGGGGATATGTGGCTCAATAGAGCTGTGGCTCTCTGTCAGCCTGGCTACAGTGCTGAAGAGGAACCTAGGGTTATTCTTATTTTCTTCTATTAGTGCTGAGTAATAGGCTCCTCTGGCATTATGGAGGGCCTTTCTATAAATTTTAAGATTATCTTGCCAATTTGAGCGATATTCTGATAATTTGGAAGAGCGCCATTTCCTTTCAGATTTCCTAGCTATTTGTTTTAACTGGCGGGTTTGGTGGTTGTACCAAGGTGCTAGTCTCCTATGTTTTAATAATTTCCTTTTTATAGGAGCGATAGAGTCTAATGTTGATCGTAGCCTGTAGCACTATCAACAAGATTATCAATTTCAGAGGGACTAAAGTTGTTATAGGACTCTGTTAAATTCAGACATGGCATTGAATTAAACACTGAAGGAATCTCCTCCTTAAATTTAGCTACAGCACTGTCAGATAGACATCTGCTGTAGGAAGTTTTGCCTAATGGGTTATAATCTAATAGTATGAATTCAAAAGTTATTAAATAATGGTCAGATAGGAAAGGATTATGTGGGAAGACTATTAAATGTTCAATATCAATGCCATATGATAAAACAAGGTCAAGAGTGTGATTAAAACAATGAGTTGGTTTATTTACACTCTGACAGAAGCCAATTGAGTCTACTAATGATATAAATGCGTTACTAAGGCTGTCATTGTTAACATCCACATGAATATTAAAATCACCTACAATAATTACTTTATCTGATTTAAGGACTAAACTTGATAGAAACTCTGAAAATTCAGATATAAAATCAGAGTACGGTCCAGGAGCGCGGTACACTATAACAAATAGAACTGGCTGCAGTGTTTTCCAGTTTGGGTGAGAAAGACTAAGAACAAGGCTTTCAGATGATTTGTAGTCTTACTCTTTATTTACAGTGATCATCAGTCCTTATAACATCATAACTGTGTTATAATATCATACATCAGTCTGATGTTTGTTGTTTACGGTAGGTTATGGAATTGGACTGCCTCAGAACTCCCCTCTGACCTCCAATGTCTCAGAATACATCAGCAGATATAAATCAGAAGGATTTATGGACCTGCTGCACGACAAGTGGTACAAAGTGGTTCCATGTGGGAACCGAGTGTTCGCCGTCACCGAGGTCAGTGTGTCTGTTTCTATACAGTGTATGCTTGTATATACAGTGGGTGCAAACATCTGCCCTTACATTATGACCACCTAGGCACCCTGGTTCTGCAGCACCAGACCAACAGACTGCTCTGCACTGTGTGTTCTGACCCCTTTCTATCAGAACCAGCATTAACTGTTTCAGCAGTTTGAGCTACAGTAGCTCGTCTGTTGGATCGGACCACACGGGCCAGCCTTCACTCCCCACCTGCATCAATGAGCCTCGGTCCCCCATGACCCTGTCTCTGGTTCTGTTCCTTCCTTGGACCACTGTTGATAGGTACTGACCTCTGCAGACCGGTAACCCCCCACAAGAGCTGCAGGTTTGGAGATGTTCTGACCCAGTCGTCCATCACAATGTGGTTCTTGTCAAAGTGGCTCAGATCCTCACGATCCTCACGCTTTCTTGACAGGCGCCCCGACCACTGACAGGAGCCCTGATATATTCCCCCCCCCGACAGGAGCCCTGATATATTCCCCCCCCCCCCGACAGGAGCCCTGATATATCCCCCCACTGACAGGAGCCCTGATAACCAGATAATCAGAGTTACTGGCAGTGCTCACTGTGTTAGCGCTGATCAATGGATATACATGTATATATGTTAATATTTATTTGTTTGTTTGTAACTGTGTGTTTTAAAAAATATGATATAAATAAAGCTTTACTTCCTTACATTGTATATACAAACACACTGTATACATAAGCAAGTACAAGCAGCCTATCATCTTATCAAAAGTGGTCCGAGGGTTAGAACCTAACCCTATATACTGTTAGTGATCAATATATCAGTGTATAAACTGTTAGTGCTGATCAATATATCAGTGTATATAATGTTAGTGCTGATCAATATATCAGTCGGTGGTGATCGGTGGATATTATATATACATATAGATGTGTGTGTTTGTATACACTGTGTATCATTAATAGGTAGATTGTGTATTTGTATTACATGCTGCTGCCCTCTACAGGTCACTGTGATGTTTCATGTTTGTGTCTCAGACAGACAGACAGACATACAGACTGTCTCACTGACAGTCTGTTCCTGTCTCTGGATGAGGCTCAGTCACTGTTCTTCTGTCTCTGCTCCGTCAGACTCTTCAGATGGGGATCAGTCACTTTTCGGGACTCTTCGTTCTGTTATGTGTTGGAGTGGGCGGAGCTCTGCTGACTCTTGCGGGTGAACACGGGTTCTACCAACTGGTCCTGCCTCACATCCGCCGCCGACAGAACCTCAAATACTGGCTTCACACCTCTCAGGTGAGAGCGTGTGTTCAGTCCCGCTGCTATACTGTTTACAACAAAACCATTGTTGTAAACAATCTGCTCATTTAATGTCCATTTAAATGTTTTATGTATTGTACAAAAACAAAAGGTCTGTTTGTGTCTGACAGAAAATCCATCGCGCTCTGAACATGACGTATGAAGACGTGAAGAAGCAGCAAGCTGAGAAAGACAAAAGGTTTGTGTAATGTCATTGTTACCCGTCACAGAAAGATTATGGGATTCATTTCAATGGTTTGTTTCCATGGTAACAGATGAACTCTCTTTTTCTGTTCAGTTGTAACCTGCAGAAGTCCCAGCACCCACTGGGTCCCCCCGCCCCACCAGCCCCTGGAGCGTCTACCAAATGGAACAACGAGACCAGTAAGGTTGCTGCTGCTGCTGCCACCACTGCGGCCGCTGCTGCCGCCGCTAAGGACGCCCGGGACTTCAAACGAGTCCACTTCAACCTGGAGACCCTCAACACCCGCCGCCTGCTCGCTCGCATCGCCACTTCTGACACCAAGGGAGGTGGGGCCAAAAGTGAAGGGGAGGGGCCAGCCAAACCGACAGCAAAGCCAAACAGCAGACCGTGTGAGAACGGAGGCCCGGCAGCTTCGTTGGCCAGCCTGGTGCTCTCCCTCCCCTCAGCATCCTCCTCCTCCTCTGCCAAACCCAATACCAATGCCCCTCCCCTTGTGGCCCTGCCCCCCACCCCCATGGACCCGCCCACTGCCCCCCCGCCACCGCCTCAGCCTGGCGAGCTGCAGGAGCTGCAGGAGCAGATCGAACAGATGAGGGAGAAGCTGAGGACGGCCTTGGCCAGGAGGGCTGAAATCCAGACCACTTTGGCTAAACCTGTCCCCATGGTTACAAATGACCCGCCTCCAGTTACCACGACAACAACGATAGGTGCCCCGCCCACCTTCACCCCAGTAACACCCCTCCCTGCCAACACAAAGTGCGTGACGACCATGACAGACCCGCCTCACAAAGTCTTGTCCAAAGTTCGGCCCCTCAACAGCAGACTGACCAATCAGAGGAGGTGATGCTCTCTGTAAAATTCACAGGACTCTGCACATGGCAGCCCTTTTAAACTGCTGAGAGTGGAAAATAATGATTAATTCATTTATTTTTAAATGCCAAAGCTCGTAATTATTTCTATTTTTATTCATTATTGAGTTTTGAAGATTTTATTTTATGTTTCTGTTTTCGGGCTCCTTCCGGGCTCCTTCCAATCTGTGGCCACATTATTATTATTATCATTATTATTATTATTATTATTATTATTATTATTATTATTATTATTATTATATATTATACACATATATATCTCAACAGAGCAGTTATTTAGATATTATCAATAAAATCACAATATATGTGTTGATGAGATTTACCCACATTGTGGATGAATTCATGGAATGTAATATATTAAGAGTTTTTTTTAACGATTGCATGCATAATGAATAAACAAATGAGTAATTTTTACCTTTAATTAAATTATTATTTCTTATTATTATTATTTATTTAAATCACATGCAAATTCAGGGTTTTTCTCAGATTTGGATTTAATGTGAAAATTAACAAGGAAAACCTTAAATTAACAAGCAGGTTGATTTGTAGCCTCGTTTATACATCATATAGATCTTTGTTTTATTGATTAAGTCTTACATGGAGCAGATAATGTCTTCATGTATGATCATCCATCAGTTCATTTAATAACCGCAAATTTGGGTGAAAATCTAAACCTTAATATATTACATTAGTATAATTGATCTGTTGTTGGTAAACCTGTTAAATATCTGAACACTGAATAAGAATTCATTTAAAATCTCATTAATTAACAGCTGTCCTTAATTACTCCTTAAACTCGTTGATGGATTTGTCAAATCTTTCACAAATTAAGGGAAACTCATGGATTAGTTTTGATTAATGATTGATTTTATAATTGACACTGATTTAGATTAAGGTATTTGCAGGTGTACATTAAGGGTTAATTAAAGGGATTTTAAGGGACTCTTGTCCCAGACTTACTGGGCCACAGACAGGAAGTAAAATATGATATCAGGAGCAACAGAGGACTCAACATTGAGCCCTGTGGTACTCCAGATCTAACACATGAAACTTTTTGGTTGATGAAAGCTGGTTGATCCAGTTTCTGTCTTTTTGGTTCTCAAATCTTCAGACCGTTTCGTCCTCAGACTGCTTAAACTGGCCGCAGGGTGTGGACTTGGTTTCAGGAACCTTTTTTTGTGGTGCAGATTCATGACTTCCTGTGAGGCTGAATGCAGCAGCTCTGCAGGAGCCTCAGAGGATAAAAAAACAAAACCTAAAGGAAGTGAACACACCACCAATCGGAGTTTGTCTGATGGTGTTCAACAGAAACGTTGCTGCTGATGCAATAATTAGTTTGTTTGCATGTAGAGAAAAATCAGAGCAGCTTCAAGTTTACGGAGTTTCCTTAAAGGCACCTTCACCTGTCAGTAAATTCAGGTGTTTATCAAAACTGTTTCTTTTACAAACTAGCAGAGAATCCCTGAACTTTCACCTTAAATCAAACATTTAAGGTCCTTTTAAGGTTTTTATCTCCAGTCACTGTGAAACTCTCTTACCTTACAGTCCATGAATAATGAAATGATTAGTATCCTAATGGGATTTCAAGGTCTGATTAAAAAATCGATGAATGGGTCATCACATATAATGGATTATTTGAACAGTTTAAGTTAAAATAAGAAATAAGATAAAACCCATCACTTAATTATAAAGCCTCCTTAAAAGGTATGAATGCAGGAATTTATTTGATCTTTTCACCCCTTAATCCATGTATAGATCATAGATCATTACTATTTTTAAAACCCTTAAAATTATTATTAATATTATTATAGCCTTAATTTAACCCGAAATTTATGGTGAATTTAGTTTTTAAGGGATTTTCCTTAAAAGCCACTTAAACTGTGTAGGTAATCCATTAAAATATTACAATCCATTATTTATTCCCTTAATTAACCCATTATAATGATGATAAAATGAAGGAATTTTAATGGATATATTAAGATATTTTATTGGATGATCAGCACAGCTTAAAGGCTTTTTAAGTGGCACAAAATCTCTTAAAATTGTCCAAATAACATGAAAGTCTTTCATTTATACCGTGACTTAACACAGACGGCTTTCAGATGTTCTTTGGTCAGTTTTAAGGTTTTTATGTCCCTTAAAGAAAACCTTGTCAATGTCAATGTGAATAATCCATTAAACCATTCTAACTTTATTACAGTCTTCCGTTATCCGGATGGATCAAATACATAAAGTAAAAATGATTTTTATCTGAATTGAAGCTAATAATTCATTTCAGATTTGTTCTTTCTGGTGTATTTACTTTTTTAAAACGTTCATGTTTTCAGGTGTTTTGACCTGTTCAGATTCTGGGGTTATTTAAAGGATCATAATACATTAGGGTGTTTTAAGGGTTAGTAATTTGGCCTGTAGGAACCTCGAGCAAATATTGTGTCATTTGGTGTTATAATTTTCTGATGTCAGACATCATGGATGACCATGATGAAGGACTGAAAGCTGCAGTCTTTAAACCTTACTGTATGACTTCCTGTCTGTGACGGACGACAGGACACACAGACAAAGAGCAGACAGGATACTGTCCTTTTACGATTTCCTGTCGTTCACCAGGTGTTTCCACAGGTTCAATCTACGTCTTCCTCCACCTGTTTGTTTCTGTGAGGCGTTCACTGTCCTGTGGGTTTCTACCGGTGGGCTGTGAGGCCTTCACTGTCTGGTCTGCTTATACCGGTGGGCTGTGAGGCCTTCACTGTCCCGTCTGTTTCTACCGGTTGGCTGTGAGGCCTTCACTGTCCTGTCTGTCAGGATGTTTCTGTTAAACGAGGCTCCTGGATGTTTTTCTGATGTTTCTGTTCATGTTGATCTCGATATATTTTTTTGTTAAAATTAAAAAAGTGTATTACCAAATTAAAAGTCTTCTTCTTGTTTTTATTTTTTTTATTTTTGAAAAACAGATTAAAAATGTTCAATTTAATCACCATTAAAAATTCTTTTAAATTCAATTAAATTTTATTTGTATAGCACCAACAGAGCCGGTCAGACCATACTGCTCATAAAGAAATAGTCTGATCAGTTTCAGTAACAATAATAACCATAATATAACAACAACAAACTATTGTTTATTATGTGACTGAATCAGGAGGCACATATAAAATGTAATTCATTATTGAATAAATATAATAAACACCCTCTGAGGTCGTTAAATCAAAAAATATAAGAATTAAACTCTGATGGTTAAATCTTGCTTATTATGATGTGCTAGCCAGAAAGCTAATGCTAATGGTAACCATGCTTGCTTTAGTTATGACTTTACATCCAAATTAGTTTCATTTTACCCAAAGTAATTAAGTATCTGATTTAGTTACAAACTATCAATTATTGATCCTCTGGATACGATACGTCCCGGTGGACATACGGGGGACGTACGGTGGACATAGGGTGGACAGAAGATACGTACCGGTGGACATACGGTGGACGTATGGTGGACATACGGTGGACATAAGATACGTACCGTTGGACATACGGTGGATATAAAATACGTCCCGGGGAAATACGGTGGACATACGGTGGACATATGATACGTCCTGCGGACATACGGTGGACATGATATGTCCCGGGGACATACGGTGGACATATGATACATTCCGGGGACATACAGTGGACATACGATGGACATACGGTGGACATACGGTGGACATATGATTCTTCCGGTGGAAGCCCTGGACCAACAGAGGGGCCACGGAAGAGCAGAAATCAGGACCTGTATCGAGCTGTAAGTAAAAGATGGTTTGTTATTTAATAAGGACTCTATGATATTAATTCATGATTAATAATTAAAGTTGATCAATATAATTATTGATTAAAGAAATAAAGTAAATGTTTAGAAAGGTCGCTCACAGTTTCAGATCCAGAAGTTGCTCTGCAGCTGATCGGCCAGCTGGTTGTAGTTCATCCTCCTCAGGATCTTCTGGGCCATCTCCTGGGCCCCCTCAGCGTGGTACTGCTGGACCATCAGGTCCACAGTTCTGGATCGGTCTGCAGACTCCAGTCGGCTGACAGGAACCGGATCCGACTGCAGACTCAGAAGGTACTGGAAGGTCTTCAGATCCTCCAACCCAAGAGAGTTCAGCACCCTGAGCAGCAGCAGGGACACATCTACGGACTCTGAGACACACACTGAAACAGCACAGATTATACTGGTTATACTGGGTACACCTGTTATAAACTGGGTATACTGGGTTCACTGGTTATACTGGTTATACCGGTTATACTGGGTTCACTGGTTATACTAGGTATACTAGGTATACTAGGTGTACTGGGTATACTAGGTATACTGGGGATACTGGGTATCTTGGGAATACTGGGTACACCGGTTATATACTGGTTATACTGGGTATACTAGGTACACTGGTTATACTGGGTAAACTGGGTATACTGGGTACACTAGTTATACTGGGTACACTGGTTATACTAGTTAGACGGGTTATAAACTGGATATACTGGGTATACTGGGTACACTGGTTATACTAGGTATACTGGGTATACTGGGTATATTGGGAATACTGGGTGCACCAGTTATATACTGGGTACACTGGTTATACTATTTATACTGGTTATACTGGGTATACTGGTTATACTAGTTATACTGGGTATACTTGGTACACTGGGTATACTGGTTATACTAGTTGTACTGGGTATACTGGGTACACTGGTTACATACTAGGTATACTGGTTATACTAGTTGTACTGGGTATACTGGGTACACTGGTTACATACTAGGTATACTGGTTATACTAGTTATACTGGTTACACTAGGTATACTGGTTATACTAGTTATACTGGGTATACTGGGTGTACTGGTTATACTAGTTATACTGAGTATACTGGGTACACCGGTTACATACTGGGTATACTGGGTACACTGTGTATACTAGTTATACTGGTTATACTAGTTATACTGGGTACACTGGGTAAACTGGATATGATAGCAGAGCATTATTCTCTAAGATGATATTTTTTGATCATGACATAATAATTATGTCAAATAAATATCTTTTTTTATCTTCATTAACTTCAGTGTTTTTTTGCTTGTAGCCTTTAAAGTCCATGAAATCACTAAATAATTTAATGAAATTAAATTAATGATGATTTTAATTATAATAATTAAAACTCCAGAGTTTAGAAACATTACTGTAATATAATATTCATAGGTTTGTTTTCATTAGTGTTTAATCAACTGAAAATAAGAATCGTTAGAATGAGACATTTCTATAGGAACCCAGAACGGACAAACCAAACTGGATCTAGATAGAGGCATGAGTTTCTCACTCCCAGGTCATCAAGCACAAACATGAGGGGTGTTCAGTTAGCTGCAAGCTGCAATTTAACTACTAGGTGGCACTAACAAACTAGTCCTTTAAATATTATTGTCAGTAACTGTCTCCCAATAATCTCCTCCTCTTAATCAAGATAATTATTGTGAACATATTGTGTGTAAATTAGTGACTTTAATAAGATAAATAATAAGTTACCTTCAGTACAGACAGTGGAGGCAGCAGCTGCAGGAAACACAGACAGAAAACCTTCATCACATTCAACAACAATAACAATAAATAACATCATGTGTTAGCTTGTGTTAACGTGTTAGTGTTAGGTGGTGTGTTAGCGTGTTTGACTTGACTAATGCCATTGCCAATACTGTTGTTGCTGTGCACCTGTCTGTCTGTCTGTCTGTCTGTCTGTCTGTCTCTCGCTCTCTCTCTCACTCTCACCCCAACTGGTCGAGACAGACGACCACCCACCTAGAGCCGGAGGATCTGTCCTAGGTTTCTGCCTTTTAACAGGCAGTGTTTCCTTGCCCTTGTCTCCAAGGTCTTGCTCATGGTGGTACTGTTGGGTCTCTGTAAATAATGTTATAAAGAGTTCGGTCTAGACCTGCTCTATTTGAAAAGTGTCCTGAGATAACTTCTGTTATGAATTGGCACTATACAAATAAAATTGAATTGAATTGAATTGAATTGAATTGAATTGAATTGAATTAATGATCTACCTCTCAGCTGGAAGACTTGGCTCCACACCACAGACTCTGTGGAGCCAAACAGCCATCCAATCAGACGAGGTGGAGTCACGTGACTCCTCAGCTGAAGCTCCACCCTCCTGACATCAGTGGCCAGCTCCACCTGAAATGATGGCAGGAAGCTGTGGTAGTCACCAAAGTTCACGAACTTTGAACTCTAAAAACAAAAAACAAAAACAGGTTTAATGTTTTAAAAACTGATTTAAGAAGAAAAGCTGAAATATTGTAAAGACAATGTGTGTGTACTCGCTGCTGAAACTGTTGAAGTGGCAGTCGAAATACACAAATACTAAAAGGAGCTGGAAGAGCAGTTGAAATGTACTGAATGAAGTTTAAGTGTCATTTTAGGATTAAGCACATAGTGAAGCAGAAATTAAAGATTTAGTTGAAGTTTAAGCACTGAGAACAGCTAAGAAAATTCACAGTTGAAAGATTTAAAAGGGTTGAAATACTGAAAGAAGTTAAAGTGGCAGTCAAACTACAACTAGTCAAAGAGGTTAAATGAAAGTAATTGTTAAAAGAAACTGAAGTGTGACTATTTGTGATGGAAGTGTGAGATGATCACTGAAAACAGAAATCTCCACTAAAGAAACCAGCTTAAAGCAGCTGCAGTGTCAGTTGAGTTTGAACAGTTTAAAGCAGCTGCAGTGTCAGTTGAATATTAACAGTTGATAGCCGTTGCAGTGTCAGTTGAATGTGAACAGTTGAAAGCAGCTGCAGTGTCAGTTGAATATTAACAGTTGATAGCAGCTGCAGTGTCAGTTGAGTTTGACAGTTTAAAGCAGCTGCAGTGTCAGTTAAATGTAAACTGTTGAAAGCAGATGCAGTGTCAGTTGAATATTAACAGTTGATAGCCGTTGCAGTGTCAGTTGAATGTGAACAGTTGAAAGCAGCTGCAGTGTCAGTTGAATATTAACAGATGATAGCCGTTGCAGTGTCAGTTGAGTTTGAACAGTTTAAAGCAGCTGCAGTGTCAGTTAAATGTAAACTGTTGAAAGCAGCTGCAGTGTGCAGTTGAGTGTAAACTGTTGAAAGAAGCTGCAGTGTCAGCTGAATATTAACAGTTGAAAGCAGCTGCAGTGTCAGTTGAATATTAACAGTTGATAGCAGCTGCAGTGTCAGTTGAATATTAACAGTTGAAAGCAGCTGCAGTGTCAGTTGAATATTAACAGTTGATAGAAGTTGCAGTGTCAGTTGAATATTAACAGTTGAAAGCAGCTGCAGTGTCAGTTGAATATTAACAGTTGAAAGCAGCTGCAGTGTCAGTTGAATATTAACAGTTGATAGAAGTTGCAGTGTCCGTTGAATGTGAACAATTGAAAGCAGCTGCAGTGTCAGTTGAATATTAACAGTTTAAAGCAGCTGCAGTGTCAGTTGAGTGTTAACAGTTGAAAGTAGCTGCAGTGTCAGTTGAGTGTGAACAGTTGAAAGTAGCTGCAGTGTCAGTTGAGTGTGAACAGTTGAAAGTAGCTGCAGTGTCAGTTGAATATTAACAGTTGAAAGCAGCTGCAGCATCCACTGTGCAGTGTACCTCTGGCTGGATCAAAGTAACGGGCTGTCCGCTCAGTTTGTACGTCTGATTTGGGATCAGCTCACAGTCCGGTATCGTTTCCACATACTCTGCTGTGATTCGTTGCTTCCACTCCTTCCTCACCTGGAAACCAGACTATGTTTAAACTAATGTAATATATTATGGTATTTTTAATGAACTGTCAGTATGGTTCATGGGATTATTTGATCCAATAACATTATGGAAAAAATGTATTGTAAAGACAACACTAACTTGTATAAAGAGAATGTTTTAATGGTACTTGTTCATTTTCTATTCAGTTTTATTTGTATAGCGCCAATTCATAACAGACGTTATCTTGTATATACAGTATACAGTCAGGTCCATAAATATTGGGACATCGACACAATTTTAATCTTTTTGGCTCTATACACCACCACAATGGATTTGAAATTAAACAAACAAGATGTGCTTTAACTGCAGACTTTCAGCTTTAATTTGAGGGTATTTACATCCAAATCAGGTGAACGGTGTAGGAATGACAACAGTTTGTATATGTGCCTCCCACTTTTTAAGGGACCAAAAGTAATGGGACAATTGGCTGCTCAGCTGTTCCATGGCCAGGTGTGTGTTATTCCCTCATTATCCCATTTACAAGGAACAGATAAAAGGTCTAGAGTTCATTTCAAGTGTGCTATTTGCATTTGGAATCTGTTGCTGTCAACTCTCAATATGAGATCCAAAGAGCTGTCACTATCAGTGAAGCAAGCCATCATGAGGCTGAAAAATCTAAACAAACCCATCAAAGAGATAGCAAAAACATTAGGTGTGGCAAAATCAACAGTTTGGAACATTCTTAAAAAGAAAGAACACACCGGTGAGCTCAGCAACACTAAAAGACCCGGAAGACCACGGAAAACAACTGTGGTGGATGACTGAAGAATTCTTTCCCTGGTGAAGAAAACACCCTTCACAACAGTTGGCCAGATCAAGAACACTCTCCAGGAGGTAGGTGTATGTGTGTCAAAGTCAACAATCAAGAGAAGAAGTTCACCACAAGATGTAAACCATTGGTGAGCCTCAAAAACAGGAAGGCCAGATTAGAGTTTGCCAAACAACATCTAAAAAAGCCTTCACAGTTCTGGAACAACATCCTATGGACAGATGAGACAAAGATCAACTTGTACCAGAGTGATGGGAAGAGAAGAGTATGGAGAAGGAAAGGAACTGCTCATGATCCAAAGCATACCACCTCATCAGTGAAGCATGGTGGTGGTAGTGTCATGGCGTGGGCATGTATGGCTGCCAATGGAACTAGTTCCCTTGTATTTATTGATGATGTGACTGCTGACAAAAGCAGCAGGATGAATTCTGAAGTGTTTCGGGCAATATTATCTGCTCATATTCCGCCAAATGCTTCAGAACTCATTGGACGGCACTTCACAGTGCAGATGGACAATGACCCGAAGCATACTGCGAAAGCAACCAAATAGTTTTTTAAGGCAAAGAAGTGGAATGTTATGCAATGGCCAAGTTAATCACCTGAGCTGAATCCGATTGAGCATGCATTTCATTTGCTGAAGACAAAACAAACAGTCTCACTCACACTGATATTTCTATACCGTAATTTCTCCTTCGTGCTCAGAAGGGGAGGGTGAAGTCTGAAGCAGGTGACGTGCTACGGTAAGCGTACCGACTCTGCTCTGTGTACACTGTTTGGTGCTGTCAGTGGACGCTAAATATAAATTTGTTTTACTCGTTACAGCGGTTATTTTCCCGCTTAACATAGACTTAGACTATTTCTACCTAAACACTCTGAGTTACTCCTTCTTTTAGCGACTTTTTGCTACTTTCAAAAGTTTTTCATACACGCTAGCTTCATTAGCATTAGGAGTTAGCTATGGCTTCTTCCTCTCCCTCTCCTCTGTCCTGCTCAGTGTGTCAGATGTTTAGTTATTCCTCTGCCTCCTTTAATGATAATGGTACCTGTATTAAATGTAGTTTATTTACTGCGCTGGAGGCGAGGCTTAGTAAGTTAGAGGAACGGCACCGCACCACGGAGATATCTTTAGCCGCTATAGTTAGCCAGCCCCCAGTAGCCGGTGCGGTCCGACCGAAGGTAGCTTCTGTTAGCCGTCCTTCGGTAGTTCCCCCGGTAGATCCCGAGCAGCCGGGAAGACAGGGAGGCTGGGTGACTGAGCGAAGGAAGACTAAAACGCCGAAGCCCACAGTTCACCACCAACCCATTCATGTTTCTAATACATTTTCCCCACTCAGCGACACACCCGCTGAGGAACCAACTCTGGTTATTGGCAGCTCCATAGTCAGAAACGGGAAGTTAGCGAAGCCAGCGGCCATAGTTAAATGTATCCCTGGGGCCAGAGCGGGCGACATTGAATCATATTTAAAACTGCTGGCTAATGATAATCGTAAATATAGTAAGATTGTTATACAAGTCAACGGTAATGACACCCGTTTACGCCAATCGGAGGTCACTAAGATTAATGTGGAGTCGGTGTGTAATTATGCTAAAACAATGTCGGACTCCGTAGTTTTCTCTGGACCCCTGCCCAATGTGACCAGTGATCACATGTATAGCCGCATGTCGTCATTCCACCGCTGGCTGTCGAGGTGGTGTCCAGCAAACGATGTGGGCTTCATTGATAACTGGAAGCCTTTTTGGGTAAAACCTGGTCTGATTAGGAGAGACGGCATCCATCCCACTTTGGATGGAGCGGCTCTCTTATCTAGAAATATGGTGAAGTTTATTTCTAAAACCTGACAGTCCAGAGTTGGGACCAGGAAGCAGAGCTGCTGTCTTACACACTTCTCTGCGCTTTCTTTAGAACAGTCACCCACCCAAAACCCCATAGAGACTGTGTCTGTCCCCCGACCACCTAAATTATTTAAAGAAATAAAAACAAGAGGAGTTCAACATAAAAACCTAATAAAAATTAAAACTAACTCCTCAGTAGCACAAAATAAGAGAATGAAATGTGGACTGTTAAATATCAGGTCTCTGTCCTCTAAAGCTGTTTTAGTGAACGAATTAATATCAGATTATGATATTGATTTACTTTGTCTTACTGAGACCTGGTTGTCCCACGAGGAGTATGTTAGCCTAAATGAATCCACCCCCCAGTCATATTAATACTCACATTCCTCGAGGCACTGGCCGAGGAGGTGGAGTAGCAGCCATATATGATTTGAGCGTTTTAATGGACCCTAAACCTAAACTAAAATTATAATTCATTTGAAAGCCTTGTTCTTAGTCTTTCTCACCCAAACTGGAAAACACTGCAGCCAGTTCTATTTGTTATAGTGTACCGCGCTCCTGGACCGTACTCTGATTTTATATCTGAATTCTCAGAGTTTTTATCAAGTATAGTCCTTAAATCAGATAAAGTAATTATTGTAGGTGATTTTAATATTCATGTGGATGTTAACAATGACAGTCTTAGTAACGCATTTATATCATTAATAGACTCAATTGGCTTCTGTCAGAGTGTAAATAAACCAACTCATTGTTTTAATCACACTCTTGACCTTGTTCTATCATTTGGCATTGATATTGAACATTTAATAGTCTTCCCACATAATCCTTTCCTATCTGACCATTATTTAATAACTTTTGAATTCATACTATCAATTTCAGAGGAACTTTAGTTCCTCTGAAATTGATAATCTTGTTGATAGTGCTGCAGGCTACGATCAACATTAGACTCTATCGCTCCTATAAAAAGGAAATTATTAAAACATAGGAGACTAGCACCTTGGTACAACCACCAAACCCGCCAGTTAAAACAAATAGCTAGGAAATCTGAAAGGAAATGGCGCTCTTCCAAATTATCAGAATATCGCTCAAATTGGCAAGATAATCTTAAAATTTATAGAAAGGCCCTCCGTAATGCCAGAGGAGCCTATTACTCAGCACTAATAGAAGAAAATAAGAATAACCCTAGGTTCCTCTTCAGCACTGTAGCCAGGCTGACGGAGAGTCACAGCTCTATTGAGCCACATATCCCCATAAACTTAAGTAGCAATGACTTCATGAGCTTCTTCTATAACAAAATTATTACTATTAGAGAAAAAATTAATCACCAACTGCCATCAACAGTTATCAGTGGCTCTCCAAGTTCAGGGACTTCTGTCAATGTAAACTTAGATATATATTTAGACTGTTTTTCTGCTATCGATCTTCATCAGTTAACTTCAATCATTTCTTCATCGAAGCCATCAACCTGTCTGTTGGACCCGATCCCAACTAGGCTGCTTAAAGAAGTTGTTCCCTTAATTGGCACTTCTTTACTGTATATGATTAATCTTTCTTTATAATCAGGATATGTACCACAGTCCTTTAAAGTAGCTGTAATTAAACCCCTTCTTAAAAAGCCCACTCTTGACCCAGGGGTTTTAGCCAACTATAGACCTTCCTCTCTAAGATTCTGGAGAAAGTAGTCGCCAAAGAGTTGTGTGACTTTCTACATAACAATAGTTTATTTGAGGATTTTCAGTCAGGATTTAGAGTTCATCATAGCACAGAGACAGCTCTGGTTAAATTTAATAATGACCTTCTGATTGCTTCAGACAATGGACTTGTCTCTGTACTTGAGCATCAAATTGGCATTAAAGGAACCGTACTAAGCTGGTTTAAGTCATATTTATCAGATCGTTCGCAGTTTGTACATGTTAACGATGAATCTTCAATAAATACTACAATTAGTCATGGAGTTCCACAAGGTTCTGTACTTGGACCAATAATTCAATTCAATTCAATTCAATTTTATTTGTATAGCGCCAATGCATAACAGAAGTTATCTCAGGACACTTTTCAAATAGAGCAGGTCTAGACCGAACTCTTTAACATTAATTACAGAGACCCAACAGTACCACCATGAGCAAGCACTTGGCGACAAGGGCAAGGAAAAACTGCCTGTTAAAAGGCAGAAACCTAGGACAGATCCTCCGGCTCTAGGTGGGTGGTCGTCTGTCTCGACCAGTTGGGGTGAGAGAGAGAGAGAGAGAGAGAGAGAGAGAGAGAGAGAGAGAGAGAGCAGACAGACAGACAGACAGGTGCACAGCAACAACAGTATTGGCAATGGCAGTCAAGCAGGACCATGGCAGGAGGCTCCACCAGGATCCATGAGAACCTGCGAGACGAGAAAGCACAAGAACTCCGGGGAAGAAGTGGAGTTAGTAACATGCATTAAAGGGACATGAATGAGTGCAGAAAGAGAGAGGAAGAGAGTAGCTCAGTGCACCATGGGAAATCCCCCGATAGTCTAGGGCTATAGCAGCATAACTAAGGGATGGTTCAGGACTCACCTGATCCAGCCCTAACTATAAGCTTTTATCAAAGAGGAATGTCTTAAGCCTACTCTTGAATGTGGTGAGGGTGTCTGCCTCCCGAACCACAACTGGAAGCTGGTTCCACAGGAGAGGAGCTTGGTAACTGAAGGCTCTGGCTCCTGTTCTACTTTTAGAGACTATAGGAACCACAAGTAGCCCAGCATTCAGAGAACGTAGTGTTCTAGTGGGGTAATAGGGTACTATGAGCTCTTTAAGATATGAAGGGGCCTGACCATGAAGAGCTTTATAGGTGAGGAGGAGGATTTTAAATTCAATTCTACATTTTATAGGGAGCCAATGCAGAGTAGCTAGTACAGGAGAGATGTGATCTCTTTTTCTAGTTCCTGTCAGTACTCGTGCTGCAGCGTTCTGAATTAATTGGAGCGTTTTAATGGACTTATTGGGTGGTCGTCTGTCTCGACCAGTTGGGGTGAGAGAGAGAAAGAGACAGGGAGAGAGAGACACAGAGAGAGAGAGACAGACAGACAGACAGACAGACAGACAGGTGTACAGCAACAACAGTATTGGCAATGGCAATCTAGCAGGACCATGGCAGGAGGCTCCACCAGGATCGACAAGAACCTGCGAGACGAGAAAGCACAAGAACTCCGGGGAAGAAGTGAAGTTAGTAACATGCATTAATGGGACATGAATGGGTGCAGAAAGAGAGAGGAAGAGAGAGCAGGAGCCAGAGCCTTCAGTTACCAAGCTCCTCTCCTGTGGAATCAGCTTCCAGTTGTGGTTCGGGAGGCAGACACCCTCACCACATTCAAGAGTAGGCTTAAGACATTCCTCTTTGATAAAGCTTATAGTTAGGGCTGGATCAGGTGAGTCCTCAACCATCCCTTAGTTATGCTGCCTAGACTATCGGGGGATTTCCCATGGTGCACTGAGCTCCTCTCTTCCTCTCTCTTTCTGCACTCATTCATGTCCCATTAATGCATGTTACTAACTTCACTTCTTCCCCGGAGTTCTTGTGCTTTCTCGTCTTGCAGGTTCTTATCGATCCTGGTGGAGCCTCCTGCCATGGTCCTGCTAGATTGCCATTGCCAATACTGTTGTTGCTGTACACCTGTCTGTCTGTCTCTCTCTCCCTGTCTCTTTCTCTCTCTCACCCCAACTGGTCAAGAAAGATGACCACCCACCTAAAGCCGAAGGATCTGTCCTAGGTTTCTGCCTTTTAACAGGCAGTTTTTCCTTTCCCTTGTCGCCAAGTGCTTGCTCATGGTGGCACTGTTGGGTCTCTGTAAATAATGTTATAAAGAGTTCGGTCTAGACCTGCTCTATTTGAAAAGTGTCCTGAGATAACTTCTGTTATGAATTGGCACTATAGAAATAAAATTTAATTGAACTGAATTGGGTATGGTGTTCTTTGGGCAGTGTTGTTTTTGAGCCTAACATACCTTTTGGAATTATGGCCAAAAAGTTCAACCAAGACTTTTTATATTCACTGTATTTCACTTGATGTGCTAGCATTAGCAGACTACCTAGCAAGCTAATAATTACATTAAATGGATTTAGAACACTCAGCTGATTAATAAATAGCTCCGTATTAAGCTACGTTACGAATGTTGCTGAAATATGTCTGTTCTGTAAATATCAATGTAGGCAGGACGTTCTATCATGTTGAGCACACTGACCTCGTCACTGACACTGTTCACTTAACAGTGACTTTACTCTGTTGTTTATGCCATTGTGTGTTCAAAACCTTGCTGAGAACACAAGCTTGTGTACCTGAGCTGCCAGTGGGCGGGGCCTGTGTACCTGAGTGAGGCAGACGTTCCTCGGCAGCATCAGGACGTATAACAAGCAATCAGTCAGCTGAGAGAATCCAATCCAATCCAATCCAACTTTATTTGTTAAGCACTTTAAAACAACCAAAGTTGACCAAAGTGCTGTACAGGAGAATAAATAAGACATCATAAATAAAAGACATAACAGCTCACATGAGGCGCAAAATAACATATAATACAACAATAAAATGAAAAGACATAAATAAAAATAGTAACCATGCAATAACAAGCAATCAAAAAGTAAAAATAACAAATACAAAAAATAAATCAAGTAAATAAAGTCGACATCTTACTAGGTGTCAGAGAGAAGAGCAGCACAAGGCCGCTGATCGCACTGCCAGACGGCGCCAGCGACAACAGACCGAAACACGAGAAGCTAGAGATGTCAACAATCACATGGCTGTCTGTCACCTGACCAGGTGTGATGAGGTCCATGCTGTCCCCAGTGATGTGAGCCACAGACAGGAAGTGCTGCCTGCCATCTGCAAGACAGAAAAATTCACCTTCAAGAAAACTTAATTAATTCAGACAGTGTTGACATGCTGACGGACAGCTCTGAGTTTCTGTTATCAGTATTCAAATGTATGCAGACGATATGCTGATTTATCTTCATGCTGATTCCAGACAGACAGCAGCATCTGTACTTCCAGAGGCTCTGGAGGAAACAGCTGACTGGATGATTTAATCATGCTCCTCATTGAATTTGTCCAAAACGGTTAGTATGTTTTTTTTTTCCATTAGATGAGGGGCGCCCGGATAGCTCAGTGGGTAGAGTTGGCGACCCGTGCACCAAGGCTGAGTCCTTGCTGCAGCGGCCCAGGGTTCAAATCCAACCTGTGGCCCTTTGCTGCTTGTCATCCCCTCTCTCTCTACCCCCCTTTCCTGTCTATCTTCAGCTGTCACTACAATAAAGGCAATAAAAGCCCAAAAACTATACTTAAAAAAAAAAAAAAAAAATAGATGAGGGTAATTGTACAGGATGTTCAGTGTTTCAGATATTTAGGTGTGATTGTTTATAGCAGTCTAACCTTTTAAAAAACAAATTACAAACATTTCTAACACATTACAGAATAATCTGTCTTATTTTAGATTTATGAGAAATGAGATGAGTACAGAAGCAGCCAAACTGTTTGACATTGTTTGGTATTTTTTATTTTGTTACAACCTGGAATCAGACAAATTAATGTAACCACTTCAGAACTCTCATTGTTACTGTAATATGGTTAACAAGTATAAGCTTTCTATTTATGTCCAAGGTTAGTTTACTATTCATAACTCAACAACACAGCCTCTTAGACAGTTCGTATGGACATGTAGACCTGGTTACAGGTCAACCAGAGCTTCTGCCAGAGCAGACTGTTAATGTTAAGTTTCAGTCTGCAACATTTGGACAAAACTGTTTCTTTACCTTTACTTCTTTACCTAGTATCAGAGAGAGCAGTACTCTGAAACATTTAAATATAGTGTGGAGGACAGTCAGGTCTGCAGTCAGTGAGCTGTGAATGTGGCAGCTTTGGTACTGACTGTCTGTTGTACTGATGTGCTCATTTTCATTAATGTGGTCTTGTTTTTCTGTTGTTTGTTTTGGGTTGATTGTTATTCTTGGCTTTTGTTTCTTACTTTTTCATACTGTGTTTTATCTACAAGCTGCTGATCTTTTATCTCACAGTGTCAGATGAAAACGAGCTGTTAACTTTATCCGGTACGATACATATTGTGATATTGTGCATTGTCCCTGCTAAGTAAACATGTGATAAATAAATATGAATCATAATTTTATGATTGTGAAATCTGAGATGAGTGAGGAGCCATTTTGAACGGAGCGGCCCAGAGAGGCTTTGATTGTTGGTTCGATCCCCGGCTCCGCCGTGCCGCTCGCCTGCCGCATGTTGAAGTGTCCTTGAGCATGATACCATGATCCCAAATTGCTCATCAGTGTGTGAATGTGCATGAATGAGTTAGTTTCTGTTCAATGGACTTTGCCATCACTGTGTTAAAGTGCTTTGAGTTGTCAGAATTTACCATTTAAAGCAATTCAGTGACTCCCGCTACTTAATTCCTTCACACTGCATATTGAGTTCAGAGTCTGGATCAGATGGTACAACAAGAAGAGTGAAACTACTTGGATCCTTGTCTTTTCAGTCTCGCAGTCCTAGTTGTAAACTGACCTGATAGTGGTGGATGTGTCACCGACCTGAGAGCAGCTGGCAGTGTGGCAGGTGGAGGCGGTGGAAACTTCCTGTCAGCAGGGTGAACCTGAACAGCGGTCCAGCTGGCCTCAGCCCTTTAGAGGACAGGAAGTCCAAGTCCCAGGGAACCGTCTGATAGACCACATCACCAAAACCCTCCAACAGCAGACCGGTCAGACTGCAGCGGAAAACACCCGGCTGCTTGCAGCGCAACCTGGAGACACAAAAGTTGTATGTTTGTGATACTAAAGTTGTAAATGGTTAATGGAATGGACTTGTACTTGTATAGTGCCTTTCTAGTCTTCCAACCACTCAAAGCGCTTTTACACTAAGTGCCACATTCACCCTTTCACACACATTCACTCAGTGATGGCAAAGTCCATCAAACAGAAACTAACATTCATACACATTGACACACCGATGCACGGCATCGGGAGCAATTTGGGGTTCAGTATCTTGCTCAAGGATACTTCGACATGTGGCACCAGGAGCCGGGGATCAAACCCACAACCTTCCAATTAAGGAACGACCAGCTCTGCCTCTCAGCCACAGCCGCCCTCAGCCGTTGTGTGTCTGTACAGTGATAATAAAGTTGTGTGTTTGTACAGTGATAATGAAGTTGTGTGTTTGTACAGTGGGAATAAAGTTGTGTGTTTGTACAGTGTTAATAAAGTTGTGTTTGTACAGTGATAATAAAGTTGTGTTTGTACAGTGTTGATAAAGTTGTGTTTGTACAGTGATAATAAAGTTGTTTGTACAGTGATAATAAAGTTGTTTGTACAGTGATAATAAAGTTGTGTTTGTACAGTGATAATGAAGTTGTGTGTTTGTACAGTGTTAATAAAGTTGTGTTTGTACAGTGTTAATAAAGTTGTGTTTGTACAGTGATAATAAAGTTGTGTTTGTACAGTGTTAATAAAGTTGTGTTTGTACAGTGATAATAAATTAAATTGTGTGTTTTAATTAATAAAGTTGTGTTTGTACAGTGATAATAAAGTTGTGTGTTTGTACAGTGAATAAATTTTTTTGTACAAAGTTGTGTGTTTGTACAGTGTTAATAAAGTTGTGTTTGTACAGTGTTAATAAAGTTGTGTGTTTGTACAGTGTTAATAAAGTTGTGTTTGTACAGTGATAATAAAGTTGTGTGTTTGTACAGTGTTAATAAAGTTGTGTTTGTACAGTGTTAATAAAGTTGTGTTTGTACAGTGTTAATAAAGTTGTGTTTGTACAGTGATAATAAAGTTGTGTGTTTGTACAGTGTTAATAAAGTTGTGTTTGTACAGTGTTAATAAAGTTGTGTGTTTGTACAGTGATAATAAAGTTGTGTGTTTGTACAGTGTTAATAAAGTTGTGTGTTTGTATAGTGTTAATAAAGTTCAGTCAGGACCACTTTCGTCAAAATATCTTATATTCCAAGCAGAATTACATTTGGCGGTATGGCTCTGTTCTGGGACCTCCTTGTCCTTCCGCGTGCCTACGTGGAAAACCTTAAGGCAGGGAGAGCACACCTCCCTGCCCTTCCATGTGCATACATGGAAAAGTTTAAGACAAGGAGAGCGGCAGCAGAGACCCCCCAGGGTACAGAACAGAGCAAGCATCAATGGCAATCAGAAAATGACATTGATTAATTAGAAATATAAAAAGGAGGAGCTGGGGTGGAGGTGGGTGCAAAAGGCTTGTAGAGGAGCAGCAGAGATAGGCAGGCAGGCTAAAGCAGCTTAAATAAGGCGCCGTGTAGATGTTAGCCAATTGGATGCTTGAGGAAATCAGGTGAGCTGTCAGCTGACTGTGCATGGTATCCAATGGGAAGCTTAGAGGAATCAGCTGATGTATGTTTATGACTAGCTGTGATCATATGATATAGCTGTAACTGAAAGCTAAGCCTGACTTCGTGCCCTGCCTGAACTAACGCTATGCTCAATTTCAGTCAGGACCACTTTCGTCAAAATATCTTATATTCCAAGCAGAATTACATTTGGCGGTATGGCTCTGTTCTGGGACCTCCTTGTCCTTCCACGTGCCTACGTGGAAAACCTTAAGGCAGGGAGAGCACACCTCCCTGCCCTTCCATGTGCATACATGGAAAAGTTTAAGACAAGGAGAGCGGCAGCAGAGACCCCCAAAGAACCACACCAGGCAACCTCCCTTCCATGAGCTACATGGAAGTGCCAGTAAGAGGAGCCAGCAGGACTATAAACCAATACGTCTAAGCAGACACTAGTTGAAGTACAAGGCTAAGTATACTAGAGATATCCCCAGAAATTTGCTATACATTAATGAATTTAAGCCGGAAATTACAAGGCACTCATTGCTTTTGAGCATCAAGATTTGCTTGGCCTTAGGCAGGAGGTATCGTTCGTAAGCAGATAATGAACATTTACCCATAGCCTTGCGTCGAGACAGGAGCTACGGATGCTGCATTTATGCGAATTGAATGAGTTATTTTAATGTAGATTAGCTAAGCCAGATCGCATATACTGAGCAGTAGATAGCCTGTATATTGCATGGTTGTGTTTACTCTAACACGGTTTGAGAAAATGGGGGGCAAGTCAGGCTGGATGGCGCTGCCTCCGGGCACAGCTGGCGAAATTCTGCGATTCAAACGGGACAAAAATCAGCAATTGTTATCCAAGCCTGGAATATGAGCTGCTCTAATAATGAATTTACCCAACATAGATAACCAAGTGAGGCGCCTTACAAATCTATTAATGAATGGAACTGAAGAACGCCCTTGTAAATGATGTTGGCAGTTGCCTCATTGTTGAAAAAACATGATTGTTCCCATGACCAGTCTTTTCCCCACAGAAACATGAAACAACAATTGGTACATTCATTAAAAAAGGTAGAAGAGGCATTAGCTGGCAAGGATGACAGTATTTTAGCCATATGCCTGCGGACCACTGATTATTAAAATACCCCCCCAAAACCTACGGAAGGGTGGTTATCATACAGGTCAATCATGCCACTACTACTGTATGTTTGAATGAATTATATCTCCATTATTTCTGTACACAACACCGAAAAACTTGAGGATCCATTGCTCTTCCCTAAATGCCCCTCATGTCTGCTCTCTGTCTTCTAAGCTCAGCAAAGCTGTTCATTAGTGATCTAGTAGATCATAGCAGTCACACTATTAGACCTTGCTGTTGACATAAAGCTTCCAGGGTGAACTGGCACACAGTGTTCGATCATTTATATGTACTCAATATGCTGCGTCTTTTATAATTAATGGCAAATGATGATTTAGCTGCTCATTGTAAAAGAAGGAGATGCCATACCATTATCACACAGAAGAGATCAGGACTGGGGCTCGGATCTGCAGCCCTTCTCCAAGCTCACCATATCATGGAGTTCTCTATAAATCGGAGAGGTCCAGAAGCCTGGATATAGGGGAACTTCCCTGGGGAATAACACACATGCCAATTTAAGATGTCTAAGCAAGGAGAGCTGTTCTCTTTTGAAAGTTACTACTGCCTGCTGCTTTCATTACCTCTCTGATGCGATTTGCATCAGTACACTATCTAGAGTGAAGCCTAGAACTCTAGCTTTACAGGGCCTGATGTTTCTCCTTGGATAGCAGAAGACCTAATGTTTTAAAAGGTATATTTAAGAGCAAAAATGCATGGTCTGATTTTGAATTGATAGTCAACTAACAGAAAATCGTCTACGAGATGGAGCACGAAAGCAGTTGCAGTTATTAAAAGAATCCATGACTTAAATGCATCTGTGACATCTGCCTTGGCTAGCCATGCGCCTCTACATGCTTCCTTAATCAACTGATGGCATTGTAGATTATAGCATAAAATAAGGAAAAAGTGCCAGAGGATGTAGCCCCTTCAGACCCGCCTTATGTTCCAAGTGTGAAAAATATAATAATGACTTTATGCAACCAGAAATGAGAATCAATAAAAAATGTTGTTTTTTTTTTTTTTATTAATCAAAACCCTTTAATTGTTATTTTTCTTGCCCATTTCAATGGACATCGGGTCCAAACAATTCTTAAAATACCAACATCATATGACAACATCATACCTATTTTTGTCTGTTAAATGTTGCAAAAAGTAAAAAAGAAGCCCCTGTCAAGTGACGTCCATTGTAATGGACACAGGGTCTGAAGGGGTTAAACTATTTATGCCTTAGTTTTGCCTTTGCAAGAGCAGATCAATTAATATTGTTTTTTTGTTTTTTTTTTTTTTTTTCTGAATATCCCTGGTAGCTATACCTTAATGCTTGTTGAGAAGGCGATTTATGAATGGACCAATATGAACCTTTGTTATCCTTCTTCAGTAAAGCATCGACTATCTCAGCTCTTTCAAAACAGATTGTAGGTTTTTATAACCAAGTCAGCTCAGCTAAGAACCATGAACCAGCCCTATAACAGAATGCTTTCTTAGCTCCTTCCCCAGCTCAGGGACGTTTACTGGGGTTGAAGGTTTATCTCTCATGCCCCCTTTTTTTGAGAGGCAGCACGTTCTTCCCTATGGTGATTGGGACTGCACTTCCCAGCATCCTCGGCGGGAATGTGACGCCGTCAAACAAGCTGCTGTGACGTCATCGTCAAGCGCTGCACCTGTGGGACCATGCGCTCTACCTGCAGACAGCGAAGAGGGAAACAATTGCGGAGGAAGACTGTCCGGCCTGACGTGCCAAACCGAACCCTGGACCCTTGAACCCATGACGGCAAGCGACAACCGGATGTTGGACAGAGCTGACAGGTGGAGCCGGCCGCTGCGCCTTGGACCCGCGCTCCCCTGAAAGGCAGCGCAGCGCAGCGCCGGAGCCGGAGCCGGGACCGGGCCGGAGCCGGAGCCGGAGCTGGAGCTGGAGCCGGGACCGCAGCGGAGCCGCAGGAGCAATTCCTCCCCCCTCCTGCGGACCCTCCAGAACCAGAACAGCCGGACACAACTGCGGATGTTGTTCAAAAGCGACACTCTCCCCAACAGCCGAGATCGCTGCTGAGACTTCACAATGCAATCGACCCGCCATCATACTCACCGCAGACAGGACAAGTAGAAACAAACGACAAACCACAAGTAACGCACACAACATCCTGGCAAAAAGGCTTGTAGAGGAGCAGCAGAGATAGGCAGGCAGGCTAAAGCAGCTTAAATAAGGCGCCATGTAGATGTTAGCCAATTGGATGCTTGAGGAAATCAGGTGAGCTGTCAGCTGACTGTGCATGGTATCCAATGGGAAGCTTAGAGGAATCAGCTGATGTATGTTTATGACTAGCTGTGATCATATGATATAGCTGTAACTGAAAGCTAAGCCTGACTTCGTGCCCTGCCTGAACTAACGCTATGCTCAATTTGTGTGTTTGTATAGTGTTAATAAAGTTGTGTGTTTGTACAGTGTTAATAAAGTTGTGTGTTTGTTAATAAAGTTGTGTTTGTACAGTGTTAATAAAGTTGTGTGTTTGTACAGTGTTAATAAAGTTGTGTGTTTGTACAGTGTTAATAAAGTTGTGTTTGTACAGTGTTAATAAAGTTGTGTGTTTGTACAGTGTTAATAAAGTTGTGTTTGTACAGTGTTAATAAAGTTGTGTGTTTGAATTTAATAAAGTTGTGTGTTTGTACAGTGTTAATAAAGTTGTGTGTTTGTACAGTGTTAATAAAGTTGTGTGTTTGTACAGTGTTAATAAAGTTGTGTGTTTGTACAGTGTTAATAAAGTTGTGTTTGTACAGTGTTAATAAAGTTGTGTTGTTTACAGTGTTAATAAAGTTGTGTGTTTGTACAGTGTTAATAAAGTTGTGTTTGTATTTGTTAATAAAGTTGTGTGTTTGTACAGTGTTAATAAAGTTGTGTGTTTGTACAGTGTTAATAAAGTTGTGTGTTTGTACAGTGTTAATAAAGTTGTGTGTTTGTACAGTGTTAATAAAGTTGTGTTTGTACAGTGTTAATAAAGTTGTGTGTTTGTACAGTGTTAATAAAGTTGTGTGTTTGTACAGTGTTAATAAAGTTGTGTGTTTGTACAGTGTTAATAAAGTTGTGTGTTTGTACAGTGTTAATAAAGTTGTGTGTTTGTACAGTGTTAATAAAGTTTGTGTTTGTACAGTGTTAATAAAGTTGTGTGTTTGTACAGTGTTAATAAAGTTGTGTGTTTGTACAGTGTTAATAAAGTTGTGTGTTTGTACAGTGTTAATAAAGTTGTGTGTTTGTACAGTGTTAATAAAGTTGTGTGTTTGTACAGTGTTAATAAAGTTGTGTGTTTGTACAGTGTTAATAAAGTTGTGTGTTTGTACAGTGTTAATAAAGTTGTGTTTTGTACAGTGTTAATAAAGTTGTGTGTTTTGTACAGTGTTAATAAAGTTGTGTGTTTGTACAGTGTTAATAAAGTTGTGTTTGTACAGTTGTTAATAAAGTTGTGTGTTTGTACAGTGTTAATAAAGTTGTGTTTGTACAGTGTTAATAAAGTTGTGTTTGTACAGTGTTAATAAAGTTGTGTGTTTGTATAGTGTTAATAAAGTTGTGTGTTTGTACAGTGTTAATAAAGTTGTGTGTTTGTATAGTGTTAATAAAGTTGTGTTTGTACAGTGTTAATAAAGTTGTGCGTTTGTACAGTGTTAATAAAGTTGTGTGTTTGTATAGTGTTAATAAAGTTGTGTTTGTACAGTGTTAATACACAGTGTTAATAAAGTTGTGTGTTTGTATAGTGTTAATAAAGTTGTGTTTGTACAGTGATAATACAGTTGTGCGTTTGTACAGCTGAGAACTTTTGTTTGTCTGAAATCATAAATGAGTCTGAATGTTATTGAAAAAATAATTAACGATTATATGTGTGACAAGAGAAAGATTCACATAGCAACAGTAACTAGGGGGGTGGAGCTTAGTGAAGAACCAGACAAAAGGACACCGTTACCTGAACATGTTGGCGTCCTCAAGGACTTCAGGTGTAATCTCAACCTAAACAGATCAAACAAATCAAACACAGCAACCAATCATCAGTCACCTTCAGAAATGACATCACAGTGACACATACAGGCTGTGTGTGATGTCGTTACCACTGCTGTGTCAATGTTCATCTCCGCTCTGATGTCACACAACCTCTGTGATGTCACTGCTTCTCCTCGCAGACAGACACCTGCAGAAGGATGACATCATCACATCACCTGACCACAACCTCAATACATTAACCTCGATCAATAACTGTTAGCTTAGCTTAGCACAAAGAGTGGAAGCAGGGGGAAACTGTTTGCCTAGCTTAGCATAGTTTGGTGGACATACTGAGCGTTGGGACTATCTTTAGCAGGACGTTCATGGCGACGCTCTCGGCCCGTTTCGGTCCGAAGAATTTTTCCAGAAGTCTCTGTGTGGTCAGCCTGCTTGTGTTCTGCAGCTGCTCTCCACCAATAGGAGAGCGGCTTTCTTTGGTCATGTGATCACTAACCAACCACTGGAAAGACACAAGCTCATCTGAGACCAGAAACTCCAAAATCTCTGCGAGGACCGAGGTCTCTGAGGGATTCTGGCAAATAAAAAGCAGGAAGTAGAAGAATTACATCTCACAGCAGGATGATGACCTCATGAGGGAACTAGTAACATGGACTACAGACCTTGTCAGTAATTGAATGCTCTTCCAGCTCCTGCAGTAAGAAGGGCTCTGTTTGGCTGAGGGCCTGATAGAATGCCTCCTGAGCTTCACCCCCCTTCGTCAGGACCAGGTCCACAAGAGCCCGGTTCTTGTCCCTGTGGACTGCGTAGACATTCATGGCGTCCCTGTTGGCGGCATTCATGATCCCGTAGTCATGCAGGGGATCCATAATGGCGCTCGGTTGGTGCATTCTGCTGATCAGCTTTCTGCGCAAAGTCTTCACAAAGTGCTGGTTGGGTTTCAAAGCCAGTCGAGGTCTTGGTGGGTCTGCGTTGTGGTGGAGGTGTCTGACCTGATCCTGCTGGCCGATCATGGTCAGGACCGCGTCCAGCATCACCATCGCCCCCTCCTTGTGGTAACATTTCAACATGATCTTGGCGGTGCTGCAGGCGTCGGCGGACCTGAGCCAGTGTGTGGGGACGGGGGGGAAGTCCTGCAAGAGGTTCTGACTGAGACCCCAGTGGATCCTCCAAAGCTCCAGCTCCTGGAGCCTCGACAGCTCCAACAGAAGCTGGTCTTCCTGATCCTGGTCCTCCTGAACCTGGTCCTGTTGGCTTTTCCAGGTCTGAGCAGTCCCAGGTCTCGTCGAGGTCCAAGAGAGGTCATGAACTGCCTTCAATACATTACCCATGATTCAGTCTGTTCCCTGACAGGCTGAGAACCTCCTGCAAGACAATACATACATATGTATACATATTTTAACTGATCAATCGGCTATGTGGAGCTTTATTGATCCGATCCGATCCGATTTTTTTGTTTTACATCAGCTGTCATACAAGTGTTGGTCAACTCTGTTCATTTCGCACTGTGCAAGTGTATCATCTCAAAATAAATCCAAGTATCAGATTGGTATGGGCAGATAATCAATATTAAATTGTAATATAAATGTCATATATAATTGTATTAACTGATGTTTAGACTGATGTTAAAATTCAAACTCATTCAGTTTAAAAAAATGAAAATCAGTTTCTATTTTTATGTCTGAAAAGTAAAAACAGACTGAAGTTCTCAGAATTCATGCATCAATCAATGATCAAATAATAACAGTATTTGTGATTTCAAATAGCATTATTCATATTTTTCTTACTTTAAACAGTGTTTATATCATTATAATTTACAGTGAGTGAAGCTGGTCCCTTACCAGACTGCAGGTCTCTCCTGATGTTGTTGATGTCTGTGAGTTTAGTAACTTCAATTTTAACCACGCTCTGACTTCCTGTTTTGTACCTGCAGCTGCTTCCTGGTGGTTTGCCTAAAACCTTTTTAGAAACTAGAACGTTCCATTGAGGCCACTGAGGGAGGAACCAGCACATACCAGACTGTTAATGAGAACACCACATTATAAATAGACAATCAATCATTTATTTTAACCTGCTCATAAAGTGACACTGACTGACCTTAAGGTGGCGTCGATCAGAAAGGCGATCAGAGCGTCAGTCAAAACGTCGATCAGAAAGGCGATCAGAAAGGCGATCAGTGTCGTTCAGAAAGTCGGTCGAACTGTGACAAGGTTCTCATTCTTTTATTCAGGACTTTCTCAGACTGTTGTCTTGACTGTTGATTGTTCATAAACATCCTGTAATCAATCAGCCTTTGAACAAAAGCGAAGGTGAATCAGGAAAAACCCCCGTGAGGAGTTTGAGGTCAGTGAGTGAACTAAAATTAGACGGTAGTTTGTGTTGTATTTGATTCTCTGCATTCAATATAATCAATATTCTGTATTCAATATATATTCAATATTCACATAGAATACAGTTTAATGATTATTGATTATAGATTTAAGATGCAATATTCAATTAAAGGCCTCATATTTTGAGTTTCTCTGATAACAACAACAACAGACCTTGAAGGTTTTATTTTGAAAGTTTTGGACTTTATTGTGAAGATGCAGTTTTATTGATCCTGTTTCCACTGTTCAGACTGTGACTAATAAACTGACAAACACAAATGATCAGACATTCACACAGCTTGTGTGCAAACAGCTTGTTGTGCACTGGTTTTACTGGTTTTACAGTTAAATACAGTTTGATGAGTTTCAGATCGACTAATGAGGCTACAGTCATCCAGCAGAGAGGCACGAAGAAGAAAAAAACAAACAAACCCCCCAAAATGATGCTGATGTCATACTTCAGGCTCCGCCTCCCCTTGCAGCTGTAGAGCTGCTGATCACCTGCTGACGGTGCGTTCAAGTGACTCATCAGTGCTCAACTGGTGTTAATGGTCTCTCGCAGGATTAACAAAGTCTGACTCAGGTCCAGCGATCAATATGCTTTAAATGAATCAATAACTAATTGAACACATCCTGGAACATTTAATATGTTTGGATTGTGAGTGACTGAACCTGGAAATGAGGACATATTTCTATTATTATTGTTGAAAATATTATATTCGAGGATTATTAACGAGGTTGTCCGTGAGCTGTTTTTGTTTCGTTTAGCGTTTGTTTTTCTGTTTGTACTGAATTCTACGGACGCCCTGAAAGGCCAATTTACTTTTTTCTCATTATCATTTGTCTAAGAAATCTCCTGGTGCACCTGAACGCACCTTTCTGCCTTTGAAATTAAAGTTTGCCTAGCAGGGCCTCTATGGGTGAAATGATTTCTGTTTTCAGAGACAAAAAAATTAAAAACAGAAAAATGAAGGGAAGAAAAAGTCATCTCAGGGCTTCTGTAGTTGAAAAAAAAACCACAATTTCTTTAACCTTAAAAATCCTAACAAAAGAAAACAAAATTTGCCTTTCAGGGTTTCCATATAATAATAATAATAATAATAATACATTTTATTTGTAAAGCACTTTTCATAAAAGAATCTCAAAGTGCTAAATATATATATATATATATTTATATAACATCATGTTGGCTATTTAATAACTGATATGCAGATTGATCAGTAAATGATCAACTGATTGATACAACAGCAGGAAAAAGACCTCAGGTCAGCAGACAGATCTGAAGTTAATGAGCTGACGAGGAGCACCTGAATCACAGTGACAGGCCAAGCTCTCCCATGGGAGGCGGAGCCTGAGGCGTTACACCGCCGCTGTCATATTGCACAACCAATCAGCTTCGCTCCACTGCTGACGCCTCTGGAGTGACCGCAGACAGTCTGAGGATTATTGATAAGGCATCCGTTCTGACAGGAACTCCTGATCGACCACCACACTTCCTGTTCTCAAAGAGTCTTTTTCTTCAAAATAAAAGCAGATGGAAACAGAAATCAACACAGTTCAAAGTTTGTGCTTCAGTCTGTCAGAATCAGGGCCGATCAATCCAGTCACTGATCAATAAATCATCCAAAGCTGATCCTCAGGGTCAACACAGATCTGTTCCTGGGGTTAAATCTCTTTCTGGGGAATCACTGATTCAGTGTTTAAAAGATCAATATCTTACAGACAGGAGAGAGACAGACAGAGAGAGAGACAGAGAGAGAGATATGTGTATAAGTGTGTATGTGCATATATGTGTATATGTGTGTAAATATGTGTGTATGTGTATATATGTGTGTATGCGTATATGTGTATATGTGTGTATATGTATGTGGTTATGTGTGTATATGTGTGTATATGTATGTGTGTATATGTGTATGTGTGTATATATGTGTGTGTATGTGTGTATTATATACTTTCTACAGCTTACTGTTTAAAAACTTCCGTTTGAAGCATCTGAGAAGAATTATTAGTATTTTTAGCTTATAACCTTCCCAACATATAAATCTGAGATACAGACTGGAGCTGTTTGTAGTTTCAGTTTGTTTCCCACAGTAACAGCCGGTACAACAGAGTACTGATCTCAGTAAACTCACTGTCCTCCTCAGTGTTTGTGCTGGAGATCATTCAGACTAACATTAAACCAGCACACAAACGCCAACCACTGATATCTTATTTACCCAGAAGTCAACGAGGCATCATTATTAAGCTCCACTGGTGCAACCCAACCCTGAAGATGTCACTTATTTTAGTGTTTAGTTTCCAACCATCCACAGATAAAGATGTCCATCTCCACTTCCTCCCACAGTGCTAATGAACCAGAATATCTGGATACATCCACTGCCATCTTTCTCCATTCGGAGCCTGTGCAGTAGCGATCAGGGCTGGCGCCACCGTATCGAGGTCCCGCCCATACGCCGAACCAAAACCAAACTGATGATAAAGAGGAACAAACAGCAGTCAGCCACCAGGGGGAGACAGAGAGAGAGTCTATACTGCAGTCAGCCACCAGGGGGAGACAGAGAGAGAGAGAGAGAGAGAGAGAGAGAGAAGAGAGAGAGAGAGAGAGTCTATACTGCAGTCAGCCACCAGGGGGAGATAGAGAGACTATACTGCAGTCAGCCACCAGGGGGAGATAGAGAGGTTAATTTATATCTGTGGATGGACAAAACTGATATTATAGAAGATAATCAATAACCTGTTCACTCTTACTGTGAAGATAACTTTATGTTCTGATCTGATCCTGGAACTTTCTGAGACTTTATGGTCCTGAAATAAATTCTGTTTCAGATGTGACCTCTAATCGATCAATCAGATACTGGTTTCAAACCAACTGATCAATGACTACTGGATCACCATGATCAGCTGATCACTGATCAAGGACTACTGGATCACCCTGATCAGCTGACAGACTGAGGCACCGGGTCAGACAGGTGAGATGATGTCAGCAGGACCACACCTGAACTCTCAGGACGGGGTCTGCGGTTCTCTGCAGTCCCAGTCTGTAGCTGGACTCTGTGAGGGGGGGCAGTCTGTCTGTGGGGGGGCAGTGGCCTCCGAGGGCCCCACCTCCTCCGGCTGGAGCCCTCTGACTGGAGGAGGATCGGCTCCTCCTGCTGTGGTTTTAATTTCTACTGAAACCACGTTCTGATCCTCCTCACTTTCTGCTGCTCCTCCTCCTGTTGCTGCTCCTCCTCCTCCTCCGCCTCCTGCTGCTCCTCCCATCCAGAACTCAGCCACCACACTGACCTCTGCTCCTCCTCCTCCTCCTCCGCCGTCGGTGGAGTTGTTGGTGGAGGGAAGCTGGTTGGACGAGGACAGAGCTTCAGTGATGATGGCAGCCGTCTGAGCAACCCAGTTCAGCTCTGACCTCACCTCCCCTGCACCTCCTGCACCCCCTGCTGCTGCTGCTGGAGAGGAGGACGAGGAGGGCTGGGGGTCGGAGTGAGGCCCTGGCTGTGTGCTGTTGGGTCCTGGTTGGGGGGGGTTGGCAGGTCCTGGTCCTGTGGCAGGGGCACTGTGGTTGTTGTTGAGGTTGTCCTGTAGGGCCGTCTGGTTGGCCTGACCCGCCTGCTGGTTCTGGAGCAGCATCTCCTGGATCCGGATCTGCTGCAGGATGGCAGGGAGTTCGTAGTGGTGGAAGAAGTAGATCATGGAGTGCTGGAAGAGGAGAAGAGGAGCAGGGTGTTAGTGACAGGATGTTAAAGATTAAAGCCTCCTGATGATGATGATGGTGGTTCAGACCTGGATGAAGAGCCAGGAGGTGACCAGGGCCAGACTGCTGTACTGGCCATTGAAGCGGTAGTGATACGCATAGAAGGCAAAGTGGTAGAGATAGAAGAACCTGGAACACACAAACAAACTGACACTGAACAACAAGTCTACAAGTAATTAAACTTAACTTTTCATATAATCATTAGTGTTTCTAATGAGATTAACTACGATTAACTGATTAATTAACTCACATTCATTCGTACTTTAAATTCAGCGCAGTGAGCTCACAGTTAAGGGTTCATTAAGAGTTCATTAAGGGTTCATTAAGAGTTCATTAATGGTTCATTAAGGGTTCTTTAATGAGATCCAGCACTGTGCCTTGGTTTTAAATTATCCAATGGTGTGAGCTGATATTGGTCATGTGACTCACCTAAGCCAGTGGCGTTTGCTGGTGTTGGTGTGGCAGCAGATCGCGTCGTACTGGTCAGCCAACCAGACGATGAGGATGATGTAGAAGGCCGTCGTCGTGTCATTGAAGAACTCCGACATGATGGCCTCCATACCTGATAAACAGGAAGTGACATCAGCAGGTCACATTTCGATTTTTGCTAAAAAACAGCAACCAACCAGCTGATGCAGACTGAACTGAGACTCCAGGAGAGTGGGACCATCATGAGTCAGACCTGGGTCAGAGTCAGATCCAGAGTGTGTGAACAGGAAGTGAACTCACCGACGAGGGCCAGGATAACAGTGAGCAGTGGGGCTGCTGGGAAGGCGATGGTCATGTTCATTTCCAACATCTGAAGAAGATCCACTGGGGGGGGCAGACCAAGACCAGATCAACATCCTCAAAGTCAGAGAGATCAGGTTTTAACTGTTCACTGATTGCCACTTATGTTCAGAAACGTTCATTAATGTTCAG